AGAGGTTAGGATTTACAACATATCACAGAATAGAGGATAATCACACAATACTTGGAATCTAGCCAAGCTAACACTCGCTTTGGAGAGACACAGTTGTATTCTCAACTGATGGAGAAATGAGCAAACAGAATAATAAGAAAATAGAATTGGTCAAGGATCACGTTATCTGATTGGTGGCTCCATTTTCCCTTGGCTTCTCCCAAAGCTCTGGACTACTAAGGCTTGAATGGGGGACCATGAGCTTGCATTATCATACTTCTAGGATCTTGTGATTCTTCCTTGCTTTGAATGGATGCAAATCTCTTTATGGGTAGTCAGAAATTACCTTTCTTTGGTCCCATGTTGGACCTTCTCCCATTTTGTTTCAATATTTGCAGTTTTTGCCTGCATATAGAGCCCCTCATGTCTTAGATCAAAAAGCAGGGTGATATCACGTAAGCAGGCAGATAATACTTCTGATGGGTTCAGTGTCTAGAAGTCCAGAGCAGGAAGTGGAGGTTAAGGATGATGAGCTGTTACTAATGTCAGTACTCATACATTACAGATCTCTCTAAAGTTAGGCATTTACTCACTTCTCAAAATAACTTTGTGGCATGACTAATCAAAATGTAGAAAGTTATCCTTATTCACAGAAGACATAATCATCTATGTAGAAAATCTGAAAGAATATCCAAAAAAAGCCGCTACAACTAATAAGTGAATGTGAATTTGGCAGTCTCGGGATTCAAGGTCAAGATACAGAAATCAATTGTAGTTCTGTGTTAATACATTATAAAGAATTAGACCTGGAGTAAGAATATGGATTGTGGTTTTAGTGTGATATTGATAATAGATCATACTATTTTATGAATAAGAGCTTGGTGTTATCAGACAAATGTAGAGGAAATAATTGTCTCCTCAGTTGACTATAAAGGAAATAGTTGTCTTTTTTATGCACAAACATGCATAAGGAGTTTCCCTTCCCTTTCCTGTATTATCTGAGGATTGCTAATCTCAGTGGCTTGCTTTTTAATAGTGGTTTTCTAATCTCTCTAAATAGCTCTTAATGTAAGTATTGCATAGTTTTCATTAGCCATGAATTTTCAGCCTTTTTTTCTTTACCTTCTAATCAAAAGCCATAGCGGGTTGTTGTTTCGCCAGCACCTTTTAGCCTAGTTGGTGAAGCAGTAAGCCTGAGCCTACACTAAGACCTAAATGGCACGGCATAGATGAGAGTCTAAGACTTTAATTATATATCATTTTATTCACAACACCCAATTCCAGGAAGGAAAAAATGACTCCGTGGTTGCAAAAGACATATTATGTGTGTATCATTCATTGTAAACCCAAAATGATACTGTGTTATGGCAAAAGCGACAATGGGAACTGATTCTGAAAATGTGACCTGTCTGAGAAACTGAATAAGAGTGAAAGTTATCAAAATGGAAAGAAGTGTTAATGTGAAATTCAGCTTTCCCAGAAATACTCTTTCCTGGCCTGTTTGGTTTTGCTTTTGTTGCTTGTCATGCATGAATGGAAAGTGCTTCACTCTCAGGGGAGCCGTGTAAAGCCTCTGAGTCGGTTGTTTATTTCCTTAATCCCCTCCTCCTTTGTGATTTTTGATGTCAGATCCAAAATGGAAAGCCTGTAAATATAATGATTATCACATGGATAATCACCTGCATTAGGAACCGCCCTTCTTCTCTCTTCTAACCTTAGCTATTCTCCACATGCCACATCCACTCTGAGTTGGGATTTTAACCTGACTGCTTCATTAGATTTGTGAAACTCAGTACGAGGCGCCCTGGGGCAGCACAGATGGAGATTTGCTTGTTTTCTTTTCTCACTTCTACTGTGAAGGCACACTAAAAAGTCCCTTTCAATTTCGTGTGATCAGTTCACTTGGAATTACAGTTGATACTTGGAAGCTCTCTTACTCTTCTGCCCACCATTGACACCATTGTTTCTTCCCCTCTTTCTAACCTAATTAATGCCCTTGCTTTCTCTTCCTCTATGCTGTTAGGACTCAAATTCTGCTTAAAATTCTTCCTAGGTCAAACTGTTCCCCTATGGGTTTTTTTTTGTTTGTTTGTTTTGCTGAGAGGGGAAAAATAAATGTTGTTCCATCATTGTATCTACAAACACCCTCAGATCAGAGGTTAGTTGTGCAGAAGTCTACAAATGATGTGAGCCAGCTGCCTTTTTAATGAAGTGAGTGGGGCACCAGCCCAAGATCAAAGGAAGGTAGGAGGAAGTTAGGAGATAAGATCTTTTTAAGCCACAGAGCAAGTGCTTAACTTTCCTAGTGCTAGGGTACAGCTCTTCACACATGTGCAAGGGCCCACTGTGATAGAAAATTAGTGACTTCTCTTAAGCACGCCCTTCCTTAGCCAGAAATATGTTGGTCCTCGGAATCATTTACAAATGTAGAAGTATCCTGGTGCTCAACTTCCATAAGAAACATTGAGTTGACATATATGTGTAAGATTTGTGTCTTCTTGAAATTAGTCAGTTTTACTTTACCATAGGAGATCTCAGTTAACTTCTTAGTACATTTGTGTGAGCAAAACTGGAAAGCAAAAAGTAATTTAAATGTCATATGTAAATTTTGTGTCTTAATATTTTAGTGCAATTTTACTCCGACAGATTCTTCATTTTAAGTTTTGTCTTATGGTCTTTTAGGGTTCTTTCATGCCTCAGATGAAATTTCTTATAAATAAGTACTTTTAGCACAGCTTTCCAACTGTCTTTTTCATATTCGAATTAGCTATATTAATTATATGACAGCTTCAAAACCACTACAGGTGATATCTTTGGAAACTTATCCTTTTTCTTGATATTTGGGCTAACAAGTAGTATTAAATATGTGATGTACAAAATTCTGTTGTAATAATGTAAGTAAATTGTCAAAGAGGTTAAACTTGCTTGTGCCAGTTGTGAAGATCTGTGTGTGTGTGTGTGTGTGTGTGAGTGTTTGGTCTACATCAACTAAGGGGAGCCTGACCAGCCTTAGGTTTCTCTAGGTATCAACTTAAGGAGTTGAATTTTCAGCTTATCATTTTCTGTTAACTTCAGTAGTTAGCTATAATTATCATTTTGACCTTTCCAAAAATCTCAGAATGGTTTTCTGAATCTATATGAATATATTGGCCCATAATGCATGCATACATTTCCCCCCGCTGTTTACCCTAACATGTATTTGGTACCCAAATTTGTTCTGGAGACACGGAACTTTCTGCCTCACATGGCGTGGTACAGCAGTCGAGTTCATTGAGTTGAACCTGCTCACTACTCAGGCTCCGATCCCATCTTTCTATTAATATCTCTCGTCAAAGATAGTTTTGAAGGAATGTAACTTAAGATATTGAGGTTCCTGATAGTTGCCTGAATTTTTTTTTTTTTTTCTCATTTTCAATAGGGAGGTCTGTAACTCTTCAAAATAAAATATAGAAAGAGCAAAAAGATTTGGTTATATAGATAATACATTTGACAGTCTGTTGTAAGAACTTTAGCATATGTAATCATGTTTATGAGATTGTACCCTTAAGATTTTTTAACTTAGTATATTAAATCATTTTTAGACAGTATATTCATTTTAATGTTCAGTTTTTAGTAGCCTCTCATCGTATTAAAGAAAAAATGCTTTTCAGTTTTGTAGGGTTTATTTTTGACAGTTCATTATGAAATTTTTTGAAACATACAAAATAATTGAACTACTGAACCTTCATATACCATAAACATCCAGATTTAACAATTGTTAACATTTTGTCAATTTTGTTTCAGTTGATTGATTGATTGAACTGCTGAAGTATTAGAAATTGCACATATATTTTATCCCTAAAAAAAAAAGAACATTTTTCTTGTCATTCCTAACAAAACTGATCATTTCTCAATATTATCTGACTCCCATTTCATATTGAAATTTCTCTAGTCGTTCCCCAAAATGTCTTTTATATAACTGGTGTGTTCAAAACAGGGTTCAATTAAAGGTCCCGCCATTGCTTTTGGTCATTTTCTTCTCCCCTCATTTATCATAACTTTGACATATTGAAGAGACCAGCGTAGTTGTTCTGTAGAATATCTTACTTTAGGATTTGGCCAACTGTTTGCTTAATCTAACATTTAAGTCAGCCCCCTTTCCCTTATGTTTCCTGTAGACTGCGTGTTATTGAACTAAACCAAAAAACCCATTGCCATTAAGCCAATCTCAACTCAGAGTGACCCTGTATATGAGACTGTACATCTCTATGGGGTGAGACAATCTCATCTTTCTCCCAGAGCCACTGATGGGTTAGCAGCTCAATGCCTAATGCACAGCACCACCAGGGTTCCTTTTATTGAATTAAAGACTTGAATACCTATGTTTAAAATGTTGGACCAGAATGCTTTTTGGGTGATGCCATGTACTTCACATTGCATCATAATGGAAGGCACACACTATCTGGGGGTCCCACTGTTAGCCATGTGAGCAGTAAAATCCATCACTGGGTTAAGGTGATGACAGTTTGATCCTTCCATTATAAAGTCACCCTTTAATCCTGTGACCAGCATATAATCTGTGATACTTTAATTCCATGAAAATCTCCAGCTTCCCACCATCTTTTCACCTAATATATGTAATAACAATCCTTGCCTGAATAAATTTCATTATAGGGGTCACATTGATTAGCAGGCATTCTTCTCTAGAGAAGAGCTTTCTGAGAGGCAGTGTTTTAATATAAAATGATTGTCTTCCTTTGCTAGGGTCAGAACACCTCAACTCACTATGGCAGCTACAGTAAAAACATGTTCTTTTATCTTCTTTGCTCCAACTTGTGAAATCTGTTGACATTATTCTGTCTTTTTTTTAATGCCAAAGGGAAAAAGAAATCTTCTCTTTTTCTGGTGTAAGAATAAAAATTTAACTATGTAGATGTACTGAGATCATTGTATAAAAAGAAGACTATTTGAATAAGTTTCAAAATGGATTATTTCTTCATTACCTAGCACTTTATAATGAACTGTTCTTTTTTTCATTTCAGGAAGCTGCCACTTTTGCTAGAGAGCAAGGCTTTGAGGTGAGTTAACCCACAGTTGCACACTAAACAGATCCTAAAGGTTTTTTCTTGCTGATAATGAAGTTCTTTTGGACAGTGATTGATGTGCTATTATACTCTCAGAGCCTCGCAGCAGTTGCCATGGAAACTTGGCAGTCGTCATGGTTTCTTTGTTCTGCCAGCACAGTGTTATGACGCACTCTGCTAGGTCTGCACCCAACATCGCCTACAGATGTTATTTATTGAATTTTGAAAAGCCTCTTGGGAAGCCAAGAGGTTGGGCACGGTTTCAAGCTGCCTCTGCAGATATGGGGCCTGTCAGTTTGCTCAGTTAAAAAGCTACCTCATTAGCTGCATTACATTTCATAAGTCTTCACTGCTAAGGCAGTGGCGGAGCAAGACTAAATAGTGAAATATAATGTTGTTTAAATAATTTCAACCCTACCACATGTAGATTCTCATTATGCAAATTAACTTCCAAAAGGTTGTACTTAACCGTTGTTATAAACTGATTAATTTAAATCATGTTCATATAAACGTACTGCTTGAATCTTCCTTTTTTAAATTCTTTTTTGGATAGCATAAGGTATAATTTTTTTCAAAAACTAAATATTGATAATTGGTTTTAATTTCCAGATCCTGTTTCTATTTTCCTGGTAGAATCATTATCCTACTGAGATGAAAAACTCCATGTGGTTGCTGTTGGCTAAATTAAGAAAACAGTTAGCATCCTTGTTTTTACCTATATAACATCCATCTTCTAATGGATCATTACAAAACACTGGTTTTAATGTAAACCCATACTAATTGCCAGAGAATGAACTAAGTTTGAGACTTTTATAACTGTCAGATTTATCGAGCCTTGCTGTATTCTGTACAGCAGCTTGGTATGTTGTTGTTGTTGTTGTGTGCTGTCGAGTTGCTTCTGACTCACGGTGACCCTGTTCAGGGTTTCTAAGGAGTTTGATCCGCCAACCAATAATATACACATACGTGTATGTATGTATGTTTTTGTTGTTGTTGTTTTTAATCTGAGTAGAGGAATACAGAAACCCTTTTCTTACTTGAATACTCAGTATTGCCTACCATGTAAAGAATCCGCGAGGATTGATTGGATAGTATATAAAAACTCATTTGAATTCTTTAGATAAAGATGTTATATGAATTTGTGATAGAGCTGTTATTTAAATGTACTAAAGGCAAGTCAAGTCACAAAATAGTACATGTGCATGTTCTTCATGTCATAGAACTTAACAATCAGCAATATAAACCTTCCTCATCATAGAGGAAAATAATGAGCATGTGGTGTAAGTATACTTTATTCAAGATCCCATGAAAGAAAGAACTATTTAAAAGTAGGAATCCCTGCCTCAAAATACTTAACTATTGGAAACTGTGATCGTTTCTTGGGGGGTTCTTGTTTGTTTTGCCATGTCCTGGTGTGATGCTGCAGGATACGCACTGGACTGATAGCCACAAGGTTGGCAGTTCAAACCCTCAGGCCCCTCCTTGGACACCCTATACAGAGTTTCTATGAGTCTGAACTGACTTGATGGCACTTATCAACAACAACAACTGTGAATATAGGATTGAGTCACATTTGTTCTTCTACTTTTTTATCACATTGCAGTTTGCCGAACATGAAAATATATATAACTGTTTTCAGACATTTAAAAAGTTACATTGATAATAAATTTTAGTATTAAAAATACAGTAACAAGAAGACGACACTTCCCTCCTCTAAGACTGAAACTCAAAGGAAACACATGTTGATGACCACATTGGTCTGCTGGTGAGTGGAAGAGGGAGAAAGGCAGCACTGAAGAAATGGGCTGAGCTCAACCACATTCCATAGACTCCCATTGACCTGGAGATGAGAGAGAGAAGAGGAAAGGCTGATTGGTCCAAAGTGTGATGAGACCTGGGGACACCTGAGCCCATGGACAAGGACATAGTCACAGAGGGCTAGAGCTGAGAGTGAAGCAGCCAGCTGATATGAAGTGAGGGGAGATGCACAAGAACACCCAAATTTGCAAACATTACCCATTTGACCCAGCCTCAATGGCTTGATAAGCAAAACTAGAAGATACAAAAAAAATTTTTTAATAAAGGAAATGAGGGTAAATTGCTACAATTTGATGAGCTTGACCTACATTCAAGGATGTAGTAGCTCAAATTACCAACAGAGAGGGAAGGAGACTTCTAATCAAGTAACAATGCTATACCCTGTGTGTAAGGATAGATAGGGACAGGCAACTTAGACATTGGCTCCCTAAAATGAGGGGGTGATAAAGGCACGAAGTGACTGGCTTACAGGGTTTCAAGAGGGAGTTTAGTTACGAGTGTGTGGGTGCACAGACACGTGCTCTGATTGGTGACCACGTTGGTCACCGATAAGGGGAAGTGAGGGAAAAACAGCAATGAAGCTACGAGCTAAGTCCAACCACATTCGATAGACTCCTGTGAACTTGGGTGGACACCTGGTTGGCCAGCAGTTTGGCAAGACCTGGGGACTCCTGGGTGCAGAGTCAGTGACATAGCCACAGAGGACTAGAGTGAAAAATGAAGCATCCAGCTGATAAGAAGAGAGGGCATATGCACAAGAACACCCAAACTTGCAGATAATACCCACTTGACCTAACTTCAATGGCTGGATGATCAGAGCTCAACTAGAAGAAGAAAGAAGAGGGGAAAAAAGAGTAATCTGATACAATTTGATGAACTTGACCTACACCTATGGATGCAGTAGCTCAAAAGAGGGAACAGATCTTTAC